AAACTTCATCACAACTTACTTAAAAATGTTCTTGTCAGAACAGGCAGAGTATTTCAGCTCCTAAAGCACATGAAACTATTACAGCTTGAGTTTTTAAAAAATGTATCAGAAACAGTGCATTATTAGTGTGCTTTTACCATAATTGCCACGTACTGCTTCACCATTTGCTTGCCTAAAAAGAACAAATAGTAAGGGCAAAAAACCCACAAATTGGCATGTGAATAATTTACAGATAGGCCATTAACAAATGAACATGCTCTTCTGTTCCAAAAATAGCTATTTCAAAGAAACTCATTTGGGCACAACTCTTAGTTAAGTAAGTGACATGCACAAATGCAGTCAAATCATAATGAGGTTCAAGGAGACAAAGTTGTATGGTTCAAGGAGAGAAAAAAAACCCAAACTTGCTTTGAAAAAAAAGCTGTATACTGGTAGGATTTTTTTTCTTTCATTATTTATTTGTGTTGTTGGGTGTCACCTCCCTGGAATTTTAGTTTTTACTTCCTTTAGCTAGTCTTATAAATATTTACAATGTAAGACCTGATATGTTTAGAAGTAATGCGTAGTTCTGTCTGTTCTTTAAAAGGACAAGGATGTTGCCAGACTTCAGGACTTCCAAGAGCTGGAGTTGGTTCTTGTGAAGAGTGAGAGCTCTGCTTTCAGAAATGCTGCATCAACTCTGACCGAGAGACCGTGCTACAACAGCAGAGCGTCAAAGCTGACTTACTGACTCTTCTATATGCACCTAGAGTATGAAAACCTGGTAATTATATGCTGCTGCCTTTTGAAGGCAGTGAATTAAGCGTGTGTAAAACCTTAAGTTATTGTTAGGGTTACTATTTTAACTAATAGTTTATCTTTTATATTTAATATCCCCTTTGCTTTTATTTTTTTACTTGATACTATATTCAGATAAGTGATACCTCGTTTGTCTACTAAAATCAAATGCTTCCAGTGTGTTTCAAGTAAGTTTATTGGTTGTATTTGGCAACAGAGGGTAGGAAAGACTTAATTACTGATATGAAAAGTATGGTGAGTACTCCCACTCTTTGACCAAGTAAAGAGTCACGGAAAAGAGATTCAGGAAGTTGTGTGTGTGTGTGTTTTAAATGTTTTAAGTTTCCTGATGAAGTTAAATGTCAGTGGGTATTTGGCATACAATGAACAGCTGCTCTATAAAAAGGTGAAACTTGCAAGTGCTTCATCATCTCTTGCCCCTTCACAGAGACTTGCCAAGATGCATTGTCTTGCCTGCTGGGGATAGAAATATTTAATGCTCTGGAGCGGAAGGAGAAAAATTTTCACTGGGCTGAAAATAAGTGGAGTAGGAGTGTCCGTATTGAAATGTTTGTTTCTTTCCCATATGAGGATATTGTAACTGAAGCGATGGCATCTCTCCATCTCCACAAAAAAAAAAAAATATGGAAGCTTTTCTTAATTAAGGAGCATTTAAGTCAGGAAGCAAGTTAAAGTGCCCATTCAAAAGAAAGCCTGCATGGAGGGGATCACAAATCTGTGTCCATGGTTTTATTTCTTTATCTTCCCAAGGATGTGAGGAGCTTATGCACTGCTAGCATCAAAAGTCAGTACTGTGAAGTCAGGTAACTTCATGGCCCACCCTCACAGACCAGTTAGTTACAGGGTGTGGGGTTAGTTTCTGCTGTGTGAGGAGCAGGAGAAGCACAACAGTATACTCTTGAGGTATCACAGCTGTCAGGAGCATACCACGCTCTTGATTAGCCATACCCAACTGGAAACATGCACCATGAGCAAATAAATAACCTGTAACTTTGCAAGTTGCACAGTCTACTGTCACTTCTAGTGTCAAAAGTTTTATCCAGATGAGTACCCAAAGGGCTGTGCCTCCAGGTGCTTTCAACTGATTATTTTTTTTTGGGGGGGGGGACAAAAACCAGACTTTGGTTAAGCTGCAGACTGCCTAACTTGCATTTAATCAAGTCACTAATGAAAACATCCATCTGGGGTTTTATGAATGGCAAAAGTCATCATTAAAACACACTCTGAAGTCACTCCCTTTCAGTCCAAAGTATTTAAGTCACAGCATTGCTGGAGTTTTAACAGCCTGAAGCTTTTCCTGTTAATGTGGTAGTCTCCAAAGTCAAGCCTTAGGAGGCTTTTTGTTTTCTTTTGTACCAAAAACTATAATGATGACCTTTGCACCAAAAAACCCTTAATTGGGTACAGGGGTGGGTGGAGGTGTGAAGGAGTTGTTTTTGGTTTTTTTTCTGGACATGAGCTGCTTTCCCCCTCCCTCTCAATACTATAGATTTTCCTTCCATCTCTGCTTTATTAAGCTGCATTAGAGCAGAGTTTCAGCACAGCTTGATGCAGTTTTTGTTGTTGTTCTGGACTGTCACGCTGACATTCAGTCCATAAATAGTACAATCAACATGTTTTGGTAAGAGCAGCATGGCTGCCACCCTGTCTTAGCTTCCTGCAGCACAGCTGCCTGATCCTTGAAGTGGCTTCTCCAAGCAAGGTTAGTAAAAGCATGTGAGTCAGAAGCATCTAGAAACCCCTTCTGCCAGCAGAAGAGACTCTTGACTCTGGGTTCAGGATTGCAAGCTTAAAATTCTTGCTTAGTGCATTCAAAATAATTACCATCCTTTCTCATTTGCTCCATACACATCTTATCATTTCTACTCTGCTAACTGCCTGTCCTCAATTCTGGCCCTTCTCTCTCCAGGAGCTGGGCTGCTTTAAAGCCCGATTCAACTCCTGGTAAGCTCAAGACTGTGACAAACTACGAAATAAAATTTCCTAACTACGGCTCCCACTTTGTTTTTCTTGTAGGACAGGGAAGGAGCTTTGATTTTAACAACTGTAAATTTATCTTTTCAGCATAGCTTGGAAGCTAGTTCAGATTATGTGCAATAACTGTTTGAAAAACAGTAGTAGTTAAGTGGCTCAAAATTAAGAGTATCTGATTTCTTTTCAGTTCCTTTGTTTAGGAAATCAGTGTGAAGACTGCCTCCACTAATTACTGAACATTCAGCTATAGGAGCAGCTGGTTTAAAAAAAAGCTTTGTTTGCTCTAGTTTCCACAAAGAATAACAGTTAATGTGTTAAGACTAAAACTTTAATCATGATGTGACTGTAATAATAAGTCTATGCATTCAGAGAAATATTTTTGTATGTTTTATGCAGTTTGATAAACTCTAAGGCACACTAGTTATGTTAACTGTTATTTGGGGCTTTTTTGGTTTTTTTTTTTTTCTTTGAACAATAAACTGTTGGTATGTCAACTGAAACTAAGTTTACAAAACTTACTGTTCTTCCAAGGACAACTTTTGTTTGCACTACAAACTTGTACTGAACCAACATTGCTATTCTTCACTTATATTAAACTATCAGTTGTTTCATGTACCTAGATCTCTTCCTTTTTCAAGGGGTGGGTGGGTGGATGATACACGGCACTCTAGAGCAGACAGGACCCTCATAAAATTTTAACATGACTTTGAAAAATCACAGGCCAGTATATTTTTAACACCTAATAAAAGACTGTCAGGCTGTCAAAACCAGCATGGAGAAAGCAGGTAGGAGGTACTTAAATAAACTACTTGCGTTTTGCTCAGCTTTCCTAGAAAATCTGAGATTGTATTTCTCTTGGGCTCGAGCTCTGAAGATGACATTTTTCACACAGATTAATCTCTTGAGGAGATGCTCGGTACAGTCAAAACTGCAGGTAGGTACTAGAAAGGCACTGTGTATCCTATGAAAACTGCAGGTAGGTACTAGAAAGGCACTGTGTGTCCTATGCTCTGACAGACAATTTTTCCTCCACCTCCCGTGCACTAGAGAGACTCCACTATCAGACATGTCAGAATCTGAATCCCAGTCCAATTTACTACAAGGCACTTCATTTTATCATTTATACCTCTGCAAAATAAGGAAAGGAAAATGCTAGTCCTGTAACACATAAGCACAATGGAAGGTGCAAGACAAACATTTTAGCCACTGAAAGAAGTTAACACATCCAGGCAGTAGCCGAATCACATCTCTTGCCCAAGTTTCAAAATGAGTAGGTGTTCATGCAATATCCATAATTAGAACTTAAGTTATATTTTTACTTGCTCCCAGTTGCATTAATTTTTCTTGTTAAATTCTTCCAAAAAACCCCACCACCCAGTCTCAATGCCCTGTGCCCCTGTCTGGGCATCTGCCTTAGAAAGATAGAAGACAAAAACAGAACGTGGCTGTCTGCATGTGGCATCCCTCACATGAGAAACCATTTCACCAGAGGGATGAGCACACAGGTCCCTTTATGAGTGTGCTTCCACAAACAGACAACACAAGGCACACTGAAATTAGAAGCAGCAAGTTACAATAGTGCTTTGTCCATGTATGACCTCTGGTAACATGTGTGGTCAAGTCCTGAATACTAATATGAAATAGTGCTTTATTTTAAAATGTAAATTCAATGCCTTCCAGACACAGCACTGAAGGGCACGTCACTGCCTGCTGCTGATTAGTCCACACTGCAGTTCTTTTCCAACAAGAACTACACTTGCACTACAGCTTCACCAGCAAGCGTAAGGGATGTCTCTCTTCCCTTGTATCTGCTGTAATGTGCAGACAGTTGTTAATTAATATTCCAAACTGATACTACCGTGCAAATATAAGGCAGTGTGATGGCCAGTCTCAGCAGTGACATCTTTCTGATAATGCTGTAAAGTCCAACTGCTTTATAAAGGCTTAAGGCCTACATTTTTATTGCCGGGTTTCTGTAATTTCTTAACCAACTGCAGCATAATCTGCACTTTTTAGGGGACAGAGAATCCAACCACCTTCTAACAGCTGAAAAGGGAAGTTTGAAATGAAATACTAACTGATGACACCAAAAAAACCCAAACCCATAAACACCACAGAATAACTAAGCATCCAAATTAATGGACTAAGCTTGAAGACATGAGTAGATTTATTAGGAAAGAGACTTATTTAATATTAAACGTTCAATGACAGAGACAATCAAATTTGTAACAGAAATTCAAAGATACTTTATTTCCATTTCTCATATATCAAGAAGCTAGGAATAGCTTAGTTGTAAAAATGGGATTCATTTTAGTTCGATTCACACAAATACTAAACATTTATTTTTGTGTTTTAAAGTCCAAGAATGAAAACTTGCAATTAAACACTGAGCAAGCCATGTGTTCAGATTATGTTGGTTTCTTATCTTAAAAAGTCTTAAAGAAAAAAAGGATACAGGACTTAATATTCTCAGTAGCATATGTGCTATTATCAACACATCTTTCTGAACTCTGGGAGGAAACACCAGTCCTGAATTAAATTTTATTTAAAAAAAAATAATAATAATTCTAACTGAACTTTATATTTTTCTACGCCACTACAGCTTTCTTTCACCTCATTTTAAAGCAGATCTTCAGTTTCAGCTGTCTTCCGCTGTCTTCACAGACTCTTCATGTAGTAGTCCTATAATGCAAAATTTTGGGAAAACAGACAATTAGACAGCATTTAGAGCATTTAGTTTACCATTCTTATTTATTGTCCCAGTTGTTAGCTGCCATCTAAACTCTACAAAAATGTCAATTGAACATGACTGCCTCTAGAAGCAGTAATGTAGCATTAATGGTTTAATAATCAACATTAACTGTTTAAGAGTTCCTAGCATAAATAAGGAAACTACAGTAACAACTTAAGTTCCAAGAAGCTCATTTATCAGCTGTACTCTCCATTTTTAGTTCCTTATTTCAGGAATACAACTAAAGACCTTCTTTAAGAGTAAGAAAGCTATGTCAAGAGTGGGGGAAAAACTTCAAGTTTTCCTTTTAATACAGTATTTTTATTTCCTATTGTTTAGCTGTTTCATTTCCAACAAGCAGTGTTCCAGCATACATTTTTTGCCACAAACATTGCAATCATTTGGTGGCATCTGTCTTTGTATTTACATCTCCCTTACAAGTCTGTTACCAGCCATTCCACTTCTCTGTACTACGGCTGACTGCACATTCTCCTACACAGTAGGAAATATTAAACACATACCTCTTAAAGACTTGAATTGCATTGAAAGTAACAAGGCGATTATTATGTAGTGTTTATTGCATTTTAAACTCTTTAAAGATATCTAATTCTGGGCAGCACTGCATCCCTACATACAGTCGAAAGAAAATTCCGTTCTGTTAACATCAGATGTACAGTATCCACACAATACACAAAAAGTCCTTTTCACTATCTTGAAAATCAAAAACACAACAATAAGCTTAAAGATTACAGGCAACAGCATTCAAACATGGATGTGGGTAGAGAAAGGAGTACCTGGCATGAGTACCTGCTTAGTTTGACTGAATCCTTGATTTTTAATTTGGCTTTTCATGGGCCGCTCACAACACCAACGCTGTGTGAGGTATGGTAGTCAGCTGCAATAATTCATAAACCCTACACTTCCATCAATCCAATGCTACTGGCTCTCGAGTTACAGAACAAACTGCATTAGAATGCAAGGCAATAAAGCAAAAAAAAACTAGAAACATCCTTGACAAAGAAATACTAGCAGTTTATATGAAAACAAAGTAGTCCAACATGTGCCTCAAATATTAAGTATTAAAGCAAAAGTTTCTGCTCATGTACCAACACAATATGGACTTAAATACCAAAACAGTTCAACTTTTTTTTTTTAAAAAAAAACAATAACAAAATCCCTAAAAATAAAAAAATATAATTAATTTTTTCTATGGTGGCTATATTACAAATATGTCCCAAAGAGGCACACTAATGGGGGGCACGAGTCTGCTACAAAATAGCTGAGACAAAACAATGTACCTCAAAATGTTTTGCAGGACTACACTGTCTTTTCCTTCAGAAGGTGCTTTAGTATGTCTTCTTACTTGGCTTAGTTCCATCTTCATCTGTGCATACTTACGCTGCACTGTTAAACAGTAACAAAAAGCCCTAATCAAAGTTTGAAATAATGCACTTACCTCTGTCTGATCTGAGGTCATATCAGATCAGTTTTAATTGGACTGAGTGTCACCTTCAGATTTAATGTCTTCACTGGTCCCATTGACCTCATTCTTAGTATCACTCTCCTTCGAGTCTGTATTTGTGTCTTCACTCTGTTTTTCTCGACTACTGGACTTCATACTACTTTTTTTATCATCAGATCCCCTCTTTTCTGCCATGAAAGAAGACATTGACCATGGATTTCAAAGTAAAAACAAACATTGCACATGTGAGATATACATTGCATACAAAACAGGACAATTAATTTCTATAGCAATAGCAGTAATACTCAAAAAGTTACAGAAATAGGCTTCAGACTACCATGCTGGAATGGAGAGGGTACAAAAAAAGGTCAAAGGGGACAGAACAAGGTGGGGAAAAGAGGAGAAAGGACAGCCCTCCTAACAGAGGCAGCTACTCAGCTGTCTGCTGAAATACACAAACTGGGGGGGTAAAGAGGCAGTCAAGAAGTTAGGCAAATGTGTAATTATGGTGCATGGCTTCCTTACTTATCATGGGACTCTTTTTGTCCCCAAGATTTAACTTTTCATGTGTATGGCCTTCTCTGGTTTACAATTCTCATTAAACATGGTCCTTGAAAAGAGAATCAGAAAAGAGTGATGGGACAATGCATCAGTGCATTATCAAATACATCAACTCGCTAACTTAAAAATCTAGCAACCCCAAACAATTAAATACTTGGGGAAACAAACACTACTAAGCACCGCTAGCTTTGAAGGTGGGGTTCACTGTGACAATCCCTGTACAGCATGTCACAGAAGCTGCATGCCAATTCACAGTTCTCTAGAAACGGCAGTCATTTATAACCCACTCATTAAAAAGGCTTGGGGAGACAGTTTGTAAGATATATAAAAAGCACTATTTTCCAAATGCAAAGGAACAGCAAGATGGGAAGGACCCCACAATTTCATCACGAATTGGAAAGCTGACTGAAGAGTTTGCTACTCTGCTGAAAAACTCGTATTTTCCTCAATAATCTTCAAAGAAGCAAGGAAGCCAGAACTAAAAATATTTCAATGGGAAGAAAAACATTCAGTATTAGCGCTGTGTGCCTCATCTGTAACTTCAGTGTTTGTAAATTTAATAAAAATATCAATTCTTTCTGTATTATTTCACTCCGTAATATTCAACTTTTGATCAGTAAAGACACTTTGGAGAGAAAAAAAAAATAAATCAAAAAACCAACCTCTTGGATGTCATCATACAGAACAACATTCATGCTCTTTTTTTCTGATTATTCCCTGCTATCCGGGCAATTAAAATAAGTAATATAAATATATATATCCCCAACACAGGAGCACACAGATCGAACACTCTGAAAAAGCTATTTTAAATAATGTTATCACCTAGACTGGCATATCACATTTTTATATTCCAGAAGACAAAGTAGAAATTAAGCTTTAACAGAGAAGCAACATCCCAAATTTCTTTGTTTTAAAACAGACCACCAAAAGGAGGGGTAAAGGCCCCACACAGAAATGACGGCAACTGCCTAATGAACACTACTACTGAGGTTTCATCTGAAGCAGCACATCCAGTGCAGGGTGCTTGGAGAAAGCACGCAGCGATGTCAAAAAGCTAACTGAAGAACTAACAATTTTGCATCTGTCTGCCCTCGGTTTTGCAACTCCGCAGGTAGATTGCACTCTAACTAACCTTGTTAAAAAGTCTTCTTTTTGTGTCTTATAGGTATCTCCGATGCACACGTAGATCCACTGAGGAATAGTAGTCTTGTTTCCCCGCAGAGGACTAGTAGTCAGTCCAATAATCTTATCTTCTGTCCTATGTAGATATGGTAGATCTTAATAGCCCTATGGATGTGCAGTGTGCAGGGTTTTGTTCTGTCTTATTTGTTTCTTGAATTTGGTCAGGAAGGGTAATTTTGTTTAAGGATAAAAAAAACTACTATTAAACTGTGGTATGAAAGATGAAACTCTCCTAAAAACTTCAATAATAAAATAGGTTCACCATAGCAAACCTTCAGTTTGCCAAGCAGAGCTGAGAAAGTGTATTCAACAAATAGTCCAATTTCTGAACTTGAAAGCTTTCAACTCCTGGAGCATCTGCAAGCAGTTACGTTCCTCCACTGTATTTTCAATCAATAAGATTTCTTTCATTTAACACACATAAGATTAGTTTGAGGTTGAAACTGTGTGTACTATTTCAGCTGTGATCTAGTAGGTATAATCACATAATACTGACTTTGCTTCCTGATTCAACACATGTGCATTTTCCTGATCAAGTTTGTGTGGGCAGCTAAGATACAGTTGGTCAGAATTCTTACCAAGACAGTGTGAATGGCTTTACCACTCAGAGAATGCAAAAATCAGTCAAACATAGTATTAGTGAGAGTTTGGGTGTTCTGACAGTATTTGCTGAGGTGTAATCACTAACATGAAAACAGAATCACAAATATAATTATTTTTATTTAAGTATAAGAATCCAGATTAAGGAAGCTGAAGAGGCAAGTTTAAGTGGTCTGGAGGCATGTTCCAGTATTAATCCTTCATAAAATGAAGGTACTTCCAACAGATATTTTCCTTTTCTTAAAAAAACCCCTTTTTATTCCACCTACTCTGAAGTTAGTTTACTTGAACAGTAGTTACATTCTACTGGTTTATATTAAGCTAGTGCTCAGCTGCTGTTTATGGCTGGCAGGCTCCCTCATTAGCAAATGTACCCCTGTTCCTGAAACTCGACTCAGAAATTAAGTGTCTCCATTTTTTGATAGATTTTTTTCAGTATGATCATAAAGACTGATGTATTCCACAGTATTTTAGCGAACGAGAAACCAGGATTTCTGAATTTTCAAATTATTGCACTAATTTAATGTGTAACAGTAGCCAAGTCATAGGCAACTGTGCCTTGACCTTTTTCCTATTCAGACTCATGTTTATAAAGCAGCTTGAGATCTCAAGATGAAGTGCACTACCATGAGTAACTACAGCCAGGCCTTTGCTGCTTATTTTTGTAATTGTAGATCAATGGTGGATATAAAGACAATGAGATTCTGAAGCCAATATTCCCAGTGGAGCAGTAAATGTGGTAAATCTTAAATTCTACATTACTTCTTTTTGTGCAAACAATAGAGCAGGTAGCCAGCCACACACTTCAGATATATGAACCTCTAAAGCTATCTACTTAACTATCTACCTACAATGCCACATTGCAAACATAAGGACGTAACAGTGTTTACAGCTTCATCACAGAAATTCAATGCTTGCTTGCTAAATACTATTTTTTTCATTTTTTTCCCCACTTTTTTTTTTTTTAAAAAAAAAAAAAGCTTTTCCCAGCAAAGGGAAAAACACTTCTTCAGCATTATAGTCCTGCTCTAAGGCCTATTTGTGTTTCTACAAATGTTATTATTACATAGTCAAAAAAAGTAATTGATTTTCCCACGTGGAATTTTCATCACAGCTCATAGCATCCCCTCACTGTTCTCATTTCTGGAGGAAGAAAGTAGCAAGCAGCAAATAAAACGGCCAGCAAGGAAATCAGTCAAGTTAAAACTAAAAATATTGAGATGCTGAAGAAAGTTCACTAGCTCCTCTATTTATGGAAGGATTAAGGAAAGAACTGAAAAGCCATTAAGCTCAAAAACAGACCAAATTTGAATAAATAATAACACAGTTATTTATATGCATAGATACACACAGAACACCAAATTAGGACATTCTTGACTAAGTACCAGAAATCTGTTTATAAAGTAGGTAAAAAAGGCACAATATCAGGTAGGAATAAATTAACAAATGGACAGGTATAGGCTACAATACTGAATCTGAGTTTAAACACTATAGATCAGTTCCACTGCCAATGAGCAAACACCTAAAACCCACTTGCTTATAAAGGGCAAAGCAAAAGGAGAGAAGAATCAATACTGAAGATGCACCAAAGTATAAACCAGAAAAATTAAAATGGTACAAGGAAGTCAGGCGAGATAAATATACGAAGCATTACTAACATTTTGGGAACTAATCCAGGGGACAAATACAGAAAATTAAGGGTAGGGCAAAGAGGCCAATGCAATCCAAAAACAGGCACACAGCACCTTTCATTCCAGAGAACATCAAAAATAGCTCAGAAACATAACAGAATTGTTTCATCTATTATTGATGGTCAGCTCTAGTAATGAGGTGGGGTGGCTGTTTCAGACTGGACATTAGTCAGCACCCCAACAGAGCCAGTAGTTTAAGCCAGAAGTTAGTATTACATTTGTCCAGAAGTTTCAAAAGAGTTTGAAAGGGAAAAATTTAGCAATAACAGTGAATTAGTGTATTTTAACAGAATGTGAACCTCCAGCGTTCTCTCTGTAGCTCTTTTTAATCCTACTTAAAGGTAAAGCTTCTGAACACCAGCCTTTGATGAAGCAGTGAGTCACCATCAATGCTGCTGTACATGGTATGTACTGCTATAAAAGCATTCAAGGAGTGATACAGCATTCCTTTGAGACTCACCTGAATACTGACAAAGCAAATCTCACTTCATTTAAAAAACAAACAAACAAACAAACAAACCACACCAAAACCAAGGGGGAAGGATGGGGGGAAGAACAGGAGATTGGGGAGAAGGCATTAAAATTGTAATTTAGAGCATTACAGAAATTCTGCAAGGTTTATCTTGGAATGCATTCATAGATTATGAAAAAAACCTTAAAAACAGTGTTAAAGGAAAATAAAGAAAACATGATAGTGTAGAGAAGTAATAGATGGTACAGGTGAAAATACAGCTACCAATCTCCCACAAAGCAGGTACCAGCAAAGGGCAGTTTTTTCCTGCTAACA